TATTAAAAACTTAAAAAAGACAAAGAATTTCAAAATAAATAACAATAAATTTTATATTTTTTTTAACAATAAATAACTTTATTCTGAAATTTATTTTATAAATTATGTTCATAAAAGTTTTCTTATAATTTTATGTTGTATATATCTTATGTAACATATTACATATTATTTATAACAACTTGTTGATCCTTGTCTATTATTCTAAATCTTACGAGTATTCTATTAGCTTATATACGAGTAATATATGAGGATACACGCATTTGTATTATGTAAGAATATTTGAAAATTTATATGTATACTTATGTATGTAAATATAAGTATGAATAAAACATATATGTTTTATGAATATATAATTTCCTTTTATCTTTTAAGTTATGGGAAGAACATGAAATTTCATCACAATAAATTCAGTTCAATTGAGTCGAAAATATATATGTATGTGATTGTTTTCGTTAAAAAGAGTATGGAATATAGAATTTTTGTATTAAATGTATAATTTACATAACAAATATATTTTAATTCGTAGCTTTAAATATTTGAAATAATAGGCACTTCTTTTTCAAAAATTTTTTGGAAAAGTGCTAAAAATCCGAAATTTGAGATTAATAATAAGTGAAACTGTTGTTTTACTATAAGAACAAAGTATACGCATAATATCTAGAGAATTTTCCAAATCATTTAATATGCTCCCACTACATTGATATTTCATACTACCAAAATATACTCGTATATTGACTCTATGAGGTTACACTAGCTTTGTTTTATATTTTACGTCTCTACAGGGTTCTACAATATATTATAATAAATAGTTTCTTCAGAATTGTCCCAATCTCAATATTAAATATTGAGAGCAGGAAAATGAGAGAAAACTAATAAACAAAGAAAATGATGATAAATTAAAGAAATACGGGATGTTAATTAAACGAAAAATTGACAAGAAACGAGATAAGAGTAATAATAAACTAATTAAAAGGATGGCAATAGCATAGATTTTGATTTTTTAGTAATCAATTCAAACCCAGATAATTTTGGAATAATATTAAATTGTAGGTTTTAACATATGCAGATACGATATCCCTAATATCGTAAAAACACATTTTCTAAAACTAAATATATTTTTTTAATTAATAACGTAATTATTGTATCGTAAATTTTTAATTGGGTCAGCAAAACAAATAGCAAACACACTCGAACCCGAAATAATAATTCATAATACTAATTTCAAAGTAGACAATAAATTGCCTTATAGTTTAAATGGCGGATTCATATAATTTGAATTTAAAAAAAAATCCCAGTTATGAGTTCATCCTTACATTATTTTTATATTTTACGTAACTTAAGTTTCTTTAAAAAAAATAAAAGTTTTAAAACAATTTTAATTCAAAATTTATGAAAAAACAAACAATCAACAAATTTCAAAGTTTAATAAAGCCCCATTTCAAGCCTAATTTTGAAAAAAAAATACATAGCACTTGTAAAACATATTTACATTCTATGAAGGAACATACAAATAAATAATAAAAATTCAACAATCAAGTAATCAAAAAAAAAGAATTTTTTTTGCCCCCATATTCCTGCATCTTATATTTTTTCGGAAATTATGTTCCATACACACAACGTAAATAAAATCTTGAATTTATGTTGAATACGTTCATAAATATTCCCTCATGTATTTAGAGCCCTGCAGGGGTCATTTTATTTATCATAATATTTATTTCATATTTTATTTTTTTTAAATTTTATTAGACTTTTTGGAAAAAAACGTTCTATAATATGCACATAAGAAAATATTTTAATTTTTATATGCAAAGTTCTAATCAAAATATTCTTGAGTACATAGAAAATTTGAGGTTTTCCATATCTAAATTTTCATTTTAGAAATACCTATAATAAAATTTTAAATTTTTTATATTTAAAATAAAATGATAAAATTTATGTTTTAAAATTTTTTACCTTTTGGAATAAAAAATTTGAAAATCTAAAGTAAAAATTTAAATTTTGTAAGAGTATGTAAACCATTGCATATTTTTTTTTTTGCTTTTATTTCATTGCCTCCAGTAATAAAAATTTTGATTCAAAAATTTTCTTTTACAAATTTTATTACAGCTATATTGATTTCTAAATTATGATAAAAATAAAATTGAAAATTTTTAAAGGCAAAATTTTCTTCAATAAGGACAAAATTTTTTTTGATTATCCTTTTTATGAAATTTGTTTAGAAACATAATGTTACAAAAATAATATAGTATTTTAAGACTCTGTAAGTACAATATTTACGAAATTTAGTGTGTAAAATATTGCAATCTACCAAATTTTTTAAGTCAATATTGAAGTCAAAATTAAATTTTGAAATATTAACAGAAATATAAATGTTAAGAATAACTATAAGAAATAAAGCCAATGTTTTTCAATTATTGATAATTCAAAAGAAAATTGGTCATTACCAACATTATATATGGATGGGACGCATGTTAGGGCGGCCGAATATTACGAAAGACAAGCAGGTATAACATTTGGACCCACGGGGAAAGATTTTTTTTTTTTTTTTCCTTTGTTCACTCCTAGAAGGAGCATAGGGCTAGTGCATGATTTCTCATGCACTAGTTTCATAGCGTCATAGGGTTTAACTAGGTAGGTGACTAGCCTGCCGTAGTTTTTATTTATATATTAATTATTTGAGGTTATTAATATTTACTATTTATTTTTCTTAGTTTTTTTTTTTTAATATCGAATATTAGGAATATTTGAAAATTACTTGTATAATATTTTTTTTATTAGTATTGTATATTAAGTTATAATAATATTGAATATAATTTTTATAGTGACCTGACCGGGGTTTGAACCCGAGACCCTTCGGTTAAAGGACCGGTGCCATAACCACTGCACCAATGGTCAGATACGGGGAAAGTGAAACATGAGTAATCCTCGCGAAACGTGGCGACAAACAATACTTAAGAAATCAAGGAGAAAACGCTGGTCAAAAATAAATAAGTACATAGCTGAAAACAGTATGCAATTCAGAGGAGTTGTTGAAACCTCTTATTCCCACCGGGAATAAACAATGGAGAAAAAAAACTATAATTGCATGTGTCACTGACACTTATTATTCTAATATCACTATAAGATGCTTATGCAAAATCTAAATAAAATATTTTTTTATCCTAGATGATTTCTTCAAACCGCTCTCTCTCCCTCTCTCTTATATCTATATATAACATAAAAATTTTATAATCAAGAGACACGTGTTCTTATCAAATACATTAATAATAAAATGAGCGAAAAAATTATTAAATTTTTCCACTTTTTTTTTTAAAATGTCTCTATTTCTTTATCCAGTCAGTTGCATTTTAAAGTACATAGAAAATAAAACAAAAGGAATGATATGAAATAAAAAGATGTACGAGTAGACAACACATGTCCTTTTAATAAAAATTATTATAATATGTGCACATAATGTATGTACATATATAAATAATTTATTATTATATAAAATGCAATATTAAAATCAGGTCATTCAAATTCCAGAAACATTAGAAAATAATTTCATTCATATTATGCAATTCATTGAGGAATATTATTATAGAGCTTCGCGTGGAGTTTTATTTATGAAAACAAAAAAAAAACAAAATCTAATTTTATTGTATAGCTTTTTTTTTTTCTTGTTTGAATCATTTTTAATGATCAGAATTGGTTATGAAAATTTCAAATTGAAATTTTCTCTTATTATTATTGTTTGTTATGATTAAGGTTACCTGATTCTATAAAATAATGAGAAGAATACAATATTCAAGAACTGGAATTTATGTAAGAAAATTAATTGTTCTCCCCAATTCTAATTAAATTCTGGCTTTATTACAATCCATAACTATGTAGTAAATCTAATCACGCCATATCTGATCGTATTTAGAGCATATATACGAGAGTGAATTTGAAATCTTATTTTGATAGCGATTCGAATTCAGTTCCAACCCTAAATAAATTATAAATATTGCTGGATTATATGAGTTTATTTATAAGTTATAAATTAAATATTCAGACCCATAAACTTGATATGTAGCAATAAAATGTAAGTATGAAGCATACACAGTTATTTCTTTTTAAAAATTCATATTTATATGGTAAGCCTCTATGAAGGTTACTGATTTATACTACCCCATTCTCTTTATATACTGTTATACGTTACTTTATACTACTAAAATAAATATTATATAGAATAAAAATTTTTGCAATATATCCTTTTTAACAAACTTTGTCCTGAATATATTACAAATAATTTTTATGTAATAAACTATAAATTCATAATGGTTTATCCTAAATTTCACATTTTAATTCACTATATTATATACACACGTTACACCCAAAAAAAAAATTGAATTTTATTCTATTTTCTTATTATTATTATTTTATATATGAATAACCGATGAAAAACCAAAAATATATTTATAAAAACTTTTATTAACCTTGTATGTTTATTATTTTTGGTTTCCTTTTTTTTTTCTCGTAAACTGCATGAGATATTGTGACCACACAGATGCTTTATTATTCCTAATTGAATTATATATCACAGAGATATATATACGTTATATATATGAAAATTCATATATAATTCATAGAATTTAAGTAAGTCTGTTTTGGGAAAAAAAATTGAAATTATTCATAATATTTTAGAGGGATAATAAAAAAAAAACAAGAAAAACATCAGATAAATTAAGGATGAACGTGGAAAAAAATACCATTGGAGTTTTTTTTCGCAACTACATATAAAATGAGAACAAAAGATTCATTATTATATTTTTAAGAATATTTTTGACATCTCACTTTTTAAATATTAATGTGTATAAGTATGTATACAAAATAATTTGGTTTTAACACATGTTTTCTATATTATGCACATAGAGAATAATTATTCCTTTATAAAAGATTATATTAAAAATTATTGTTAAAAATTTTTTATAATTTTTATTTTATTAATTTTATTTTATTTTTTTTTTTTTTGCAGGATGATGCCAACAAAATTAATGTGCACAGTAGTTGCATTCGCTGGATTCTGTCTATTATTATTGGCAACAACAGATGCGGCTCCAATGCCCAGGTAGTTGTATTTAATACCAACTTAATAAAAATTTTTTTTTATTACTAGATTTTCAAATTTTAATGTTAAACAACGAAACAAGCAAAATAAATACTAAGGTATCGCATCATTGAAATTTTTCTGAAGTTGTCAGAATATTATGTCAGTAGAGGATATGTGCAATGTCCGTGAATTGAATTTCCCTCAATGACGGCCTGGTGGTCACGAGATAGTGGTAGTAAAACGGCATATTTGTGTTAATTTGGGTATGGTGGACCTGCTGCACCTTTCACGTCAACCAACCAACCAACCCCCGCAGCACTCATTGATAGTATAAAAGAATAGGAAATTTCTGAGAGGCTTTATAGTGAAAAGGGTGAAAATTTTAGGAATATCAGCAACTACTTAAAATTTTGTGCTATTGGGAGGTTTTAGAGAATGTAATATATCTTCGGGGTTAACCCCGAGGGTTATCATGCAAAACTTTCAACTACACATAATTTTATTTAAATTTCTATATTTGTAACTTGTCTATTGCACTAAATACGCTTGCACTGTTCTATAACTTTTAATTACAATCGAAAAATAATATTAATTAATTAATTTTTTTCGGACATAACAAAATTTTATTTAAAATAGAAATTATATACTTTAGTTACATAGACTCCTTAAAATAGTTTCAGCACTTAAAAACAAATTTAATTAAAGAAAATCCTTGAAAAGTTCTATAATAAATGAGCATCTGTTGCCGTCCATAAAAATTTCACCAAAAAATTCTTTTAATGCACTTACAGTATAAATGTATACAATCACACACATTTTCTCACTTATTTCTTAATTAATTAACACTAAATTTAGAAGCTTAGGCAAACTATAGTACAAAGTCAAACCACTAAGAAAGAAAATGCCATTATGTGCTCATAAAATTTTAAGTTTAAGTTGAGAGTTTAAAAACAAAATTGTCATTATGTGAATTAGTTCCGTCATCTAAAAATTGAAGACAAAAACTTTTTTCAACTCTTTGCAAATGTCATTTTATATTTTTCCAATTTTTTCATAAACGGGAAAATAAAAAATTCTAAGAAAAATTTTTTCACAAAAAAACAAAAAATTTTTTTAAAAATAATTGAATTTGTATGAATGTCTACTGTTATTATTTTCATTAAAAAAGAAAAGTTTCATTGAGTTTATTTTTCCTATTTCTCTTTCTTTTTCTTCTGTTCATTTATAGATCAGATTGAAAAACTTTTCCCAACCAAAATGGTATATATGAGCATTTGCTCACGAGCACAAGAGCTAAAATTAGTGTATACAATTTACAAAATATATAAGAAAAAATTTTAATATTCTACAAAAAAGAAAGAAATTTGAAAAATCAAAACACAATCATATACAATTTTTCACCTACTTATGTGTTATAATTTTGGCACAACTCCTTTGGGATAAAAATATTGATAGTATAACAAATTTCATTAAATATTAATAATAACACTTTCAAAAATATTCTATAGAAAATTTTGTTCCTAACAATATATTTATACATGAAAATAGTTAAAAGAAAATATAAAAGTTAATAATTGTACCATAAAACTTTAGGGTACAAAATTAATATTGCAATTCTTTGAATATCGTAAAAATAAGTAAAACTTTATTTAAATTAAAAATCAATTTTTGTTGTTTGTAACAACTGTGTAGTTTCTCGTTCCAAAACTGTATATGATTATTATTTAAATAAATTGTTAATATTACAAAATAAAATAACAAAATTATTACAATTTTCTGGAAAAAGAAACATTTCAAAAGGACAACGAAAATACTTATATAAAAAGTTTTTCTTTTGAAAATTTCAAAATTAAAAACAAAAAGTTGGAAAATATAAAAAAAATTTTTCTTTCTCTTATAATAACCTCAGGGGCGCAATTTTTATTTATACTCGTACATGGTATATACCTTTCTCTTTCTCAATTCAATTTCTCTTTTCTTTTCTTGTTTTGTTCTTGTTTTAATTCAATTTCATGTGAAAAACTTTTCCTACAGGTGTCCCAAATAACCAGTTTTTAAAAATGAAAAACTTTCTTTTACTTGGTTTTTCTTTTTCTTTTGAAATTTTTATTCTTTCGGAAAACAATTTTGTTTTTATAATTTTATTAAATTTACAATTTATAAGAACAAAAAAGTAAAACAGAAAGAAACAGTTTGATTATAATGTTTGCAAAATAAAATAATAAAAAATTTTAAAATATTTGAAATAAATATTAAAATATTTTTATTTAAAAGTATAAATAAAATATATTATTAATATAAAAGTTTTCAGAAAACAATTTTTAATACAGAACAATCTAATCATATTTGTGAGCCTCAACTCCTGTGCCTACAAGTAATAATACAATACAAAGAAATTTTCAATAAATTCTTCGAAAATTTTACTGTGAAAGGGATTTTTCTAGTTTATATTAAGATTTAAGAGCGTCATAGATTTTGCTTTAAATTTTTGAGCGAAAATTAGCTCAAAGAGGCTCAATATCCTCTAGTTTAGTACGGAAATACTAATTATAATTTAGAATATTATATCAGGAATTTAGTGTACTTAAAAAACTAGTAACATCTAAAATTATTATACAAATTGATGTATTTTGGATAAAACTAATAAATAATTAAAAATATAAAACTACAAAAATAGTAAAAATCCTTTCCATATTCAGAAAACTATTTTAAATAATAAAATTGTATTAGAACTCCTGAAATGTTCCTGAAAATCCAACTTTAATTAAAGAATACCAATTAAGAAGAGTGTAATTTTTTTGTTAAAAAAAGAGATATTTCAACAATTTGAAATTAAACCATTATAATTAAGAACCTTTAATTACATAAAATTGATTAATTACGATTATAACTTTTATACAAAACATGAAGCCAATAATTATTGTGAAGAATCATGAATTGTTTGTGAAAAATCATAGAACTTAATACAAAAGTATAACATTATCAAATTTCAAAAATTCAAATCAAATCCAAAAATTCTGCAAGGATTTTCATCTTTATCCTTTTTACGTATACAATTGCAAGCTATTGTTATATTGAATAGATTAACATTACCTATATAATTATGATATACCTAGCCTGTAACTAAACAAAATATAGTGCACGGATATAGCTAATTTTTATTTACGAAAATTGATGCGGTATAGTACTTTGTATATGAATATACAAGATAATAAACCATTAAACATACCATTTTCATGTACGTACACACATGTCCATACATACTTCAAACATCTTGTATAATCCATATGTTGTAATACAAATTTGTACGTTCATATTGTGGAAAATTCGAAAAGATTCATTATAAAAAAACTTGAAAATAAAAAATGTGCACTTAATTTGCTCTAAATATTATTGTAGATTTTATTTTTTCCAATTTATTTTTAAATTGATAAAATCTTGATCGGAACTTGGAATATACTATAAATTTTCTAAAATACATATTCTATACATACTCGAATAAATTTTTTTCATACACTACTTTCATTTTATTTAAAATTTTATTTATAGTGTAAGAATTCTCGCATATCTTTAAAAGAAATTTTAATGGAACCTTGAATTTTTTGTTAAAAAATCAAACTTGTTCGATTAGATTCAAACATGTTGATCAATATTATCAAACATGTTGCCTTCACAAAATTTATTTATTCAAATAATATTATAGAATAGTCTGTTATAGTTAAAATTCCTTTTCTTTTTCTATCGCAAAAAAATTTAAGCCTTCATAAACATTTTAAAAATTTACAATCAATTTTAATGTATAAAAAATAAATTAAAATTTTTTGAATATTATTGCATTCCAGTGGCAATTCAGCTTATAAAGGAAAATTATTTATTCACTAATTTTAATTACTAAATTCAATTTTATAAAGCATATACGCATAAAGCATTATTTTACTATAATAATTTTGAATAAATTTTCTATAATTTTCATTCAAAAATATCGGAAATGGAAAAAACAATAATGCAAAAAAATTATAAAACATTGGGATATGGTCTTTTCCAAAAATCCTTTAGAATATTTATTAAATATTTGTCGTCTATAAAATCTGTGGCAAACATTTTAACAACAGTCTAATTGTTAAATCGATAACATAACAATATTTTTTGTTCTATGAATATTTTAAAATTGTTATTTTATAGTTAAAAACCACAATAATTATAAATTTAATGTCATTTTACTATTATTATTATTTTATAAAAAATTATATGAAGCGTAAATATACAAATTGAAACCTCATTAAAGGAAGAACAAGGACGTTAAAGAATAACTACTGAAAATATTTTCATAAATCGATAAAAATCTAAAAATATACATAGCTCATAATAAAAAATTTTCAAAATAAAATTTAATATTAACATTTTTATTAACATTTTCATAATTCCCAAAATGTCACTTAATTTCAGGTTTTTTCATTAAATTTTTTTCATACTAAAATATTTTTAATTAATTAATTATTTATTTTTTCTGGGTTATTTTCTCAAAAATCAATATTGTTTTATATGTACATATAATATAGTTTATTTGTAAATATATAATTATTATATGTATATAGATTTTATAAATATTTAATTATTAATTTACTATAAAATTTTATTGTTTCAGTTATCCAAATACACTTTACAATGATATTGATCAATATAATGAAGGATCAGCAGAACAAATTATGCGACTGATAGAACGTTTTGGACAAACAATAATGAGAGCTCGAAATGATTTGGAGAAGTAAGTATACAATATTAGTTGAAAGAAATGATTATTAAATTGTAGAGTAGTGAAAAGTTTTTATAACTAATAAACCTTACTTGGAGGTAATGATTGAGTTGACGTTTTCAGTAATGATAAAAGGTCGGCTAACGACTTACCGACTTCTCTCTGGCGAGAACTAGGTGAGACGCAAGTTGATGCACAAGACTAACAGAGACTTCATTGAGAACAATCTGATTCTGGGTATAAACATGTCAGATTCCTTTATGCTACGGTACAACTTCGATTGTAGATAAAGGGTTCTGCTTTCGAATGGATAGATATAGAATCGGGGTAGCCCGATACTTGGCTCGGGTACAATTGTGTTCCTCTGCGGGGTGTATATGCTGCACGGTATTTCAAGCCGAAATACATGCAATAGAGATCTGTTTGAGAGTATATTTAGAAAGGGGATGCACAAACCGTACCATTTATGTCTCCAGTCAAGCAAAATGACATCCTTAGAAGTGGAATGAAGCCGTCTTATTGTACTTTTGGAATTGGTATCGGTAAAGATTGGTAAACGGAGTCATTAGAGTGCCTGGCCACAATGGACATACAAGCAACGAGAAAATAACAAGGGTGATAGAAAATAACGAGGGCATATAACTAAAGCCTGTGATGCAAAAATATTAGCGTTTCCAATATTCCTGGTTATGAATAACCTGAATACTGATTTCCATGACTCGCCTAGAAAATCTTGACTATGCAGACGATATAGCCCTGCTTTCTAATATGTTCGCATGCACTAACAAAAATATGGTGAATAAATGGGAAGATGAGTATGTCACAAATAGAATTAATATTTCAAGTATGTCAATCTATAAATTTAGCTGGATCAATGAAGTTGGTTCGCGGTTCTAGATCCATGAGCAATATGTTAACCATTTTTTTCCATATTAAAAATATAACTTATGTTTAAAACCCATATTGCTTGAAAGAAAAAACAAAATTTAATATTTAACTTCTTATTTGTAATTAAATATTATTTCTATATACTTTTTATTACTATAATATTTACTCAATTAAATGAATAAGACCACAGTTTCCTTAATATCTAATTTCTTGAAATTAAAAGTATACTTAAATAATTTGTTTATGTTATAAATAATAATATTTACATACATATTTACATACATATATAAACTTCATCACAACAAAACATAACGAATTATAAATTATTAAAGAAAACACAACCAAAAGGAAAATATTACGAAAGAAATCTTTATAATATTAGAATACTTCCATCACCCTTCAATAACACCTTATTATATAAACATTTTTAATATTATTATATAATATATAAGTATATTTTTTTAAATATCTACTTTATAGTATACTAGCTATCTAGAGGCCTAATATAATTTCTGTAAAAGCAGAAAAAACCATCATAACATAAAATGATAACAATTTAACGCTCATTTAAGCAATATTACTTAAATATAAAAAAAAAATATTGCCAGAGGTTCAAGGATGTGGTTAAAATAAAATGAAAATTTAAAAAATACTTCAATATTAAAATCTGTGTTGGTACATGAAAAAGTTAGAGGTGAAAAACTAAAATTTTCGCTTTTAAATTTTTATTATTTGTTTTGTTAAAAACTTTTTTTCTCTTCTTAAAAAATATTGTTTTCCACCTCTCTAATTGTCTGCAATAATATAAAATTTATTTTTAAAAGAAACACTTCATAAATGACCTAAAGAAACAATTAAATTTATTTTAATGCACAGGGAATAAAAGAATTTTAATTCGGTATGCTCAACAATAAATTAAATAAAATTTAATATCCTTAGAGGCTTTCCATAGTAAATTTTAAAGTCTCAGAGCATAATTCACCTCGCGTATTGTAATTTGTATAAAGCATGAATTATGTATAATGAGAACAAATAATACATAAGAAATAGGGCAATGAGATTAAATGCAAAATATATTATTTATTCGAAATTATCGACCAAAGATTATTGTAATACTTGCGTACATAAGGTCTGCGCTTTGACAAGTCTTACTTGTGTATCCAAAATCAAGCCGAAGTTATAGTATTTTAAGGTATTACAAAAGTATACCTACTTTAAATGAAATAGGTTGAATACTGTCTTTGCAATCTTAAAACTGCCATTTTTCGAATTTATGGACACGCCATTGTAACGTTAGAAATATATAATGTGTGTAGAAAAATTTAAAAAGAGTTCTTATTATGAAGAATTTACTGTACTTTCTAATTCTTAAATTTTTATTTGTACAACCAATTTTACATTCATTTGTGTTATGCTCCGATAATCTTTTGTATTTCCCAACGTTTTCATAAATATTCTACGGTCTAATAGCCAGTTCGATAACTATTAACGTTTTCCATTACTCTACTCATTTAATTATAATGGAGTTCATTAGAAATTGACGGTCACTGAAATTGCAACTAAATATTGTTTCTTGACAAACAATTTTCTTTCTGTTCAATTTCTTTGTGTCATATAATAGTATTGAATACTTGACCTATAAGCAACCGTCTAAATTTAAGTGTCAGTATGCCATTTACATATTATATGTGGGCTCCAGATTTCATTGCTAAATTTATTTACCTATGTCTTCGATTTAATTACTCAATACCTCCATTTCTGTACAAATACATCATTTGTCTGTATATTATTTATTACTAAATTTCATATTCAATTTAATTTTCTAATATTTTATATAATATCACCATTTTTTAATTAATTCTTTCTTTAAAACAAGAATTATATTGTTATAATATTATATGATAAAGTTAGTCTATATAATAACACTTGTAAATTCCAATTAAATCAATTAACACTTCTTAAAAACTTAACACATTCATTTAATATTCTTATATAATAGGTACTCTTAATTCTATTATTATTATCAATATTAGTTTTAACTCAATAAACATACGAGTGTATATATGAATTTTGTTGGCTTATAAAATATATTTCTACCTCACTTATACCCAAAAGTGTTATACTATATAAGATCATGTATAATATTTACCCATAGGAATAATACATATATCTATGTAGGTATATAATGAAAAATGAAAAGTTGAATTCCCTTATGATGAGTAAAAATATTTTTTTTCATACACACATTCATGTATATTTTGATTTTAGGTTTATCTGTCATATGAACTCTGTCATATAAATAAAGTTTATGTGTTTGATCCTTTATATTGAATAATATCTACATTAAGTGAATTTGACGTGACATCACACAACTTTTATAAGTTATTCATGTTTATTATTATTTTTTTTTTACCATTTATTATTATTATTTTCAATTAGTAACTAAAACATATGTTTAATCAATTATGCAACAATCAATATTAATTTCGAAATCAATTTAACTTCTTGAAAAGGATTACTCGTATTAGAATATATAAAGGAGAAAAATATGAAAACGTATTTGATAGCTCAATGGTATAGAAATATTATTTGCAAAACAATTTTATTGAAATATATATAAGTTTACATAATATTTAATTGTATATAAATATTAATATAAACGGATATGGTATATTTAGAGTATGACATTAAAATTTGTTGACTATAAGAAGTTATATTGTCAACTGATTCCAAATTTATTAAAGGATATTTACAAATTTCTTTTAAAGTCTCGTAGTCAATAATATTTTTGTATTGGTTAGGAATTTTATAACATATACGTATTCGCCACTATTAGTTACATGGCGTCTAAATAACGTCCCCGAGACCTAAATTTTTAGTAAATTCGAATATCTTATGAGGGTCAATTTTTCGTAGCCGCTCCAAATAATACTCTAAACGTATAACACTATATCAGAGTATGTAGACTACGTCACCCTATATAATTTGAATTGAAAAAAGGAGTAATTATACGCACACTTATTTCGGTAGATGGCTTTATATTTTTATATTGAAAAGAAATATCACATCGTTAGTATATTTAATATTTTTTATATTATAAGTTTTAGTTCCGTATAACAGAATTCATTATCAAAGCAGTTGTATTTTAGTAAGTAACTACAGTAATCCAAATTATCCTTGTGTTGTTAAGAGTCTTTTATACGCTTATATAAATAATATTTACGTAATTATTTATAAAGTAATAGACACTGTTCGAAATAAAAAGATTAAAAAATGTTACCGGATCTCACCCATCTTGTCAGTGAATTTACAGTACCACATCTCAATATTTATTTTTCTAACAATTCTAACTACATATTTTTCTGAAAATCTTTTTATTTGATGAAGAATTTTTATAATTATATAGAAAGAAAAGAATTAAATATGTTCACATAATTCGTAAAGTGTATAATATGTCTCTAGGATATATATATATACGTATATCACACACATATATTATTATAGTATAGCAAAAATAAAAGAAAATTATGTGTAGTTGATGAATAATTCATTGTGTTTTGATGACATTTTCTCGAATCAATTGATATCTACAATTATATTATATTTGTTATATCGTGTTAATAATATAAAAACAAAATAATATTATGTAAATAATAATTTTGTATTATATATAATTGTTATTAAGTGCTCTTGAACAAAAGAATATCATTATTAAAGGAAATTTTTTGAAATAAAGGAATTTATTCTAACCATAACACATGTAGAAAGGTTTTTCCAATTAAGAAGAAAATATTCTTTTTATATACAAATATATGTATAACACATATAATATTTTGTTAAAAATCGTATGAAAAAACAAATGAATAAGAAAGTGATTTATTTGCATATTTTAATATTTTAATTTTATAAGAGTCCATTAACAAGAATCTACATAAATCAAAAGAATTAATACACAAATATAAGTACCTAACTGCATACAACATAAAATTTCTAATCTATGAACTTCTAATTTAGGTTAAAATGTTTTTATATGAACTTTGGAAAATATGGAAAATAGTGTCGAAAATTCTAATTCTGAAAAATACCAGTAGCATTAAAAAATCTTAATGTTGAAGAAATTTTTGAATGCAAAATTTAAAAATTTTAAAATTCTTATTTTAAAGTTTTGCACAAGAAAATGACCTCATTTTAAAAATATGTCTTCGCTTTTGGTAACGCTGGTTCTTATATTCAAATTAATAATAGATCCTGAGTAACATGAGTAACGACTGACGAACTAAATGTTATTGTCAATCATATACCAAAACCAGATATTAATTTTAAAATATTACTATTTAAATCTTGTTATAAAAATCTTGATTTAAACTATAAAAATTTGAGAATTTCTAATTATCTCTTCTAAAATCCTAAATTTTTAATATATGTATTTGTAAATTCACCTTAAAATAAAATTATTTCTTTATAACATACTATTACAAAAAAAAAAAATTTATTACGAAAATTTTTTTTCTTTCCTCTATTAATTACAGTTCAAAACGTAATATTGATTTTGGATTAGCTCGAGGTTATTCTGGTACACAAGAAGCTAAACATAGAATGGGTATGGCAGCTGCATCATTCCCAGGTGGTCCAGGACGTAGACGTCGATCAGAAAGTGAAGCTTAAATATTTAATAATTATTAAAAAAAAACAAAAAAAATTTAAAGCAAATTTAATAAAAACTATTTCAATTTAATTCTTATGTATAATAAACAAATACATATTATGTAAATTTTCCAGTATATAACAACAAAAAAATTCTTTATTTAAAAAAAAAATTAATTTAATTTTTAATTTTTTTCTTTTTTGAAAAATATATCGTTACATCAGGTAATTAAAATGATCTTGCTTTAAAATTAACAAAAAAAAAAACAAAAACTTTTCAATAAATTTTCTAACAATTATTTAAAACAATTTAAATGTATGTATGTGCTAATTGAAATTATATATAGAAAAAAAAAATAAAAACGCTTTTAAATAAAATTTAATTTTTTATTTTCAACAATTACATACACACATTTTATAACATACATATTTAATATATTATTTATTTTTTTAAAATTTTCAATTTTACAAAATGATTATTTTTATAAAAGCTTTAAAAAAAATATTATATAAATACATACACCATCACATACATAAATAATATATTACTGTAAATAAGAAAAAAAAAACATTTATATTATTATATATTTACACACAATATAATATATGAAGCGAAAACAAATACATGATATAATTTATAATTTTAACAACAATCATATTAAAATAAAGCATAAAGAAGAGAAAAACTGTCAACTAAACGTCACACAAAACTTACTGTACTTATATATATATAATGTAAACTATATTAACTGTGAATTATATTATTAATTATTATAATTATTACTGCATTTAATATAATATATATCATTTTATGTTAATGAAAAAAAAAACGATATAATATTATATCTTTATTACATACATACATACATAGTATGCATATTATTAAATATATGTAAAATTTTTTTGACATTTTTATAAATCAAAATGTCATTTCATTTTCTGAAATTATTATATAAATAGTATAAACAATTGTATGTAGATGTCAAATTAAAATTTTCATTTTTTCAATTGATTTGAGGCAAAAACAAATAGATTTTTAAATGCGTGTTAGAAAATGAGAAAAAATGAAAATTACAAATATTATTTAAAAACAAAAATAGAGAGGTATGTAGGTTTATTTAAAACCCCCTATAAAATATATAAAAAAAAAAGAAAATTAATAAATAAATAATAAACACATATTTTCATATAAAATTATATTGTTATACAAAACAAAATTATTATTATAATACATAAATATTATCATAATATAAACATACATACACATTTACATAGCTTATAAAAAGCACACATTCACATATGCATATTATATCCATACATACATTTTATTTATACATAATATAATAAAAATATTTAGTATAAAAAAAATTAACAAAAGATTTAAAAAAATATACAAAATTTATATTTTGATTTTATAAAGGCCCCCCGAAAAATATAAAATTATTACATAAATAATAAATAAATACATACATACATATATATATTTTTATTTCTTTATAACAGAATATACATAATATATATAATATAGAAATAAAAACACAAACAAAATACATGCATAATACAAAAATATAAAAATTTAAAAAGAAAAGTACACATTATTAATATTAATTAAAAATAATTATTTTTAAAGAATGAGTGATAAAAAATATTAAAAATTTTAAAACAAAGAATAAAAAAATTGATTAAAGAAATTTTCAGAAATGTGCGATTATATATTAATAAAAAAAGAAACTTTTCAAAACAAATTTAAAAAATAAAAAAAAATAACGCTGTAAAATAAAATTTTAGATCTGCTTTATTCGGATTCCATTAAAAATATTAAATATTTAAATAAAAATATAAAATGCTAATTATATTTCTTCTAATTGTTCAAAAATCCTAATCCAAAAATTGTTCAAACGAAACCTAATTACAAGTTTAACTCAAATGTATTTTCTTTTTATTGTTAAAATTGTAACAATTATCAATTCGCATAAAAAAAAATTTTAAACTTTTTTATTTAACAAAAAAAAAAAAAAAAAATTTTAAGCAATTTGATGCGGTTGGGTTCAAATTGCTTTCAATATAAATGAAAATATTTTATATAAATTTGATATTATTATATAAAATATTGTTATACAAAATTTATAATAAACAGAGAATATGGTATGTGCAAATAAAATTTTAACATTTCGAAAATATACTTTAAAAAAATGTAAAATCACAAGAGAAATATAAAAAAGAAATTGCGAAAAGTACACACTTAATTGTCATAATTGTCAAAAATAATTGACATTTCAATTGTCAAAATTAAATTTAATGTACAACATTAATTCTATAATTCTAATTCAGAATATAAATGACTATTAAATTTTTTTATCATACAACAGCTTATCGGCGATTAATTATAAAAATATCGGATCTGTCAATTAAATGTCAAAATTAGTAAATTACGTACATAATATTGAATTAATTTTCTACAAAATTAATTTTTAAGACTTTAAAACGGTGTATGCTTCGTTTCATTATTAAAATATAAAGAGTATGTATATGTGAAACAAACGTTTCAGATTTGAAACAGAAAGATTTGGACTGACTTGGACTCGAAAATATTGACACAATAATTATATTGATTTATTGTTCAATGCATGTATATAAATCAATAGTGTTATAATTAATGGTTTATTATAAATTCTGTTAATTTAAAAAAATATATATATTTGTATAAAAGTTTAAAATTTTTTTTTTTAATTTAGAATGTTAGTACAAAAAATAAACCCTTAAATTTTTTTATCTTCCACAGATCATTTTAAATTTTTTTTTATATTTATTTAAATATACTTTATTAAATTTAAGACATGTATAATTAATTATCGCAAAATTTTTAATTTCAATAATGTTATAAAAAAATTTTCATTTTCTACATACATAAAAAAGAAAGGGGAAAAAAATTTAAAATGATCAAAATAATTTTTCAGTATTAAAAAAAAAAACATTTAATATAATATAACTATTATATAATCAAAATTAATATTTTCTTTAATAAATTATTATGTATTACATTATAATATATTTTTTCCCTCAGAATTAATTGAGTAAATATTGTTATATATACCTATATTTAAATTTTACAATAGAGGAAGCAAAAAAAAAAGAAATAAAATACATACATATTATATACATAATGTTATACAAAATAATTAATATGACTGTTATACAATATATAAATTAACCAGAGAACAGAAAAAAAAATCCAAATTTATTTATTAAATAAAAATATATGAAAATGTTGAAAAAAAAAATATAATATTCATATAATATATTATAAAATAATTGTTATATAAAAGAAAACCAAAAAATATCAACTAAATTTATGTTTAATACAAATTTTTTCTGTGTATAAGCACATAATTTTAAATTATTTTGTTTGAACTTTCCTATTATTCCCATTACTTATTTAACTTTGCTGTACCTACTTATATAAAATATGAATAGGTTGTATACAGGTAGATGTTCTGCATATGTACATCAACTCAACATATTATCTTAATGAAGGGTAAGAAATTAAACGAATGGTACAAGGAATTAAGAAAATTGTTCGATATTTCTTTGTGATTCAATTACAAAATTATAAAAAAAATTTTGTATTAATTTTTTAAAAGTTAATATATTTAATCAATTTTCATAATTTTATATTGGATACTAGAGAAATATTCGAATAAAAAATTCCTAGTACAACTGCAAGTATACGTATTACGTATACCCTTAAACTTAGTAATAGAAATCCATTCGTTCCATAATCTTCATTTTCTCATTTATTTCGGTTGTCATATATTTGCTCTCCCATTTCTCATTTAATTCATTTTCATATATATCACATATATACAATTAAAAAAAATAATTTTGAAAATTTATTTCTCAAAATTTTCATTTTTTTGACTTTCTAACATACATAATGTATGTAAATGCTAAATTTTAAAATAAATTTAAAAAATATATTTAAAAAAAATTCTGCATAATTATAGTCTGAATCCTATATACATACATATATAAATAATATACAAAAAAGATATATATAAATGGTATATAAATATTTGTATTAAATAAATATATAATATAATATTATATTTTATATAATAAATACAATAATATTATTATAAAGATATAAAAAAATTTTAACAGAAATACAAAGCAGCTATTTTATTGTTATATTGTAAAACAAAAAAAAAAAGATTTAAAAATTTAAAAAATAATATGTTATATAAACAAAAAAAAAATTACTAATTATTTTTCAAAATGAGAAATTATATATTATTATATACATACCTATGTATAAGCAAAAAAAATACGCAAAAACAACAATAGAGTCACTAAATCACAAATATGAACAAAAGTAAAGCATTGCAAATATATACTTAAAAAATGATATAACAAATAAAATATTTGTTATATATATAACAAAATACTAAATATAGAACTAAAATTCATACTCGTGAATACATATATACTATATATATACTATATAAAATACTACATATACATATTATTTATTATTACAATTCTTTTAAAATATATAAAATTAGAAAGAAAGTACATATATCTGCATTAAAAATAATTTTATATTATATATAATTTTAATTATACACAATATTATTATACTATGTTATATATACTATGTTATATATATATATATATATTTGTTATATATATATATAACAAATATTTAATGTAGTGTATAACATATATATAAGATATATATAACATATATATCATATATAAGTTATAAATATGTTATATATAACATATAACACATATATATATATAGTATATATGTTATATATATATATAACAAATATATAACATAGTATATAACATATATATAACATATATATAACATAGAATATATATATAACATATTAAATATAACATAATTACTAAATATACATATTACATATTCCCAAAAAAGTTCTATATATGCAATTACATTATACCATAAATGTGTAAATAAAAACGAATTATAAAATATGCATGTAAAACCTAAAAAAAAAAAACAAAAAAAAAAAAACAAAAAAAAGGAAAAAATAAATTATTTGATTGGAGAAGTTTTAATCTTATTTTACTTATAAATAATTAAACAAATAGTATTTATATAATATATAAAATAATTATGTATACTAAAAACAAAAAATTATAATCTTAATTATATTATATAACAGAGAAATATAATATATATACATATATATACATAAAAATAACGGGAATGAACAACAGGGGTATTTAAACTGAAATTTAAAAACAAAAAAAAAATTGCATTTTGAAACATAAAAAAAAAGCATTTCATTGATCATGACTTATCAAAAAATTATAATTATATAATTGTATTTCAAAAAAAAAAAAAATAAAAAAATAAATATAAATATTAAAATTAATTTTAAAAATGAATACAATTAAAATTAATAAATAAAAATATCTATATATATATATACATAAATATAAGTAAGACAGAGAAGAACTATAAAAGAAAATAAAAAGGATATATGAAAAAAGCAAAAAAAAAGACAAAAAACCAAAATAAATAAATAAATTGTGTATAATAAATATAAATGAGAAATAAAAATGAAAATTGAAATAAAATTTACTTTGTTAAAATCAATGTCTCTTTATTATAATTTCTATATATATTTTGATATATATATAATATATATGTATAACCAAAAGCGATTTTATTTAAACATCTTGGACAATTTATAGATTGTGCTGCCAAATAACAATGCGGCGTGACTCAAGATACACGCTGACTATAATATAAATTCTTTTAGAAATTCAACACTTCTTTAGACATTC